TTTTTACTAGTTTTCTTCAATTTGCTGTATCTCTACAAGACTTTAGAAGTTCTTGATTTCTATATGATTAGATAGAGCATTGATTAGTCTGTCCAACCGTATAGTTTTCTTTTGATTTATTTCATAGCTTGATGGAAAAATCAGAAGATTCCTGGAACTAGTTCAACAAAACTTTTACACAGATCTACTTCACTTGGACTCAATCTAATTCACATGAAAATAGTTTTAGTTCCGAGAGATACATCAAACTTAGTACTTCACAAAGTATTGATTAATAATGTTTTGAATTTGAGGAGAAAACTCAATTTCACTTCTGAAGTTTGGACAAATATTGTAGCACTAGATTTTCAATACTTTTTGCACTACCTCAAATTTACCTATAAGACCTTATAACTAAATCAGGTCAAAATTGTATGAATTAATAGAAAAGTTTTTGCTCTATCTAATTGTAGCTTAATAGAGTGGATTAAAGTAACTGGGCAACTAAACAAGTACTTGACAAAACTAACTACTCGAATTTTTACTAAAAACATTTGTCAGAAATTCACTCGAATTCCAGCGAAATTGAGAAATAGATCGAGTGAAACTGAATAGTTTGATAGAGAAGTGAATTCTCTATCTAGCTGTATCAAAACAAAAGGTAATCATTCGTCCAATGCGTTGTAATTGCTCAAATTACTCAAAGAAAAAAATCTTAAAGACTTCACAGAAAAAAGTTTTATTTAACCTGCTTCTCAGTATTTATTTATTTTTGTCATAAAAGTATAATACAAATCAAAAGAAAACTATACAGATGGATAGAGTAATCAATGCTCTCTCCAACCCTGTAGAAATAAAAAAATTCTGAACTCTTCCAAGTACTTTGAGTAAATTAATTAGACACTCGAGTTTGAAAAAAGGAACCTTGTATTTGTTTAAAATTAAAAAAAAACAAAAATTCATTTTAATTCTTTCTTCTCGAATGTCTAATGGCGTTGACATGAGTAGAAACATCATTGAAAAAGAAATCAAACTACGTGATCTAAAACTAAGTCGATGTTGTTTTTAGGGAACTTTATAAATTATCATTTGTCGAAAAGAATCTTATTTTGTTCCTTTGCCTTGTCTATCAACAACATGATGTACGAAATTGATAAGTTTCAAAAAAAATAAAAACTTTTTCTTAGAAGTATTTTCTATATGCAGACAAAACCCATTTCAGAGACGTACTGTATGATATCTATCGACGAAAATCCTGCAGTGGCTATCGAGAGATACACAGAAAAATGGAATACATTATGCAATTTTTTATAGACCTTATCGCATTAAAAATCGAACTTAAATATTGACTATCGATAAAAAAAAACATTCATGGATTGTAATAGTTACTTAGTGATTAAAAAGCTATGTTTAAAAAAAAATTGTATGTACATTGCATGTGCTTTTAAAAATATGTTTTCATATCTTCTACTCTTTTTTTTTTAAATGAAATTAGTCAAATCAAATATAAAGACACATACTGCTCTTGTCTAATCAAAACTACTATTGTAGTGAAGAAGACTACGACTTAATAAATTGTTCCGTTCTCTTGTTTCTTCGAATGGTCACTGGATTGATTATAGTATTTCGCATAAAGTAAAATGCGTGTGGTCGATCTATCCATAGTATTAATATATTGATGAGACCAATTGTCTTTTTATATAATTATTATATTAGTAATTTATCTAAAATGGTCATTGAGGATAAAGATTTCAAAAATAATTTTATTATTAGAAATATTTCACATTTTGTTTTGTAACAAGTAATGGACGGTTATCTTTTTTAGTGGAAAATACATAAACAATTCCTTTCTGTTGATATACTTTTTGCATCAAGACTGTCGCCGAATAAGTTGTCCAAGGTGATGCAATAAAAATTGGAGCTTGATAAGCGATTTCTTGTTCTAATACATCAAATAAATAACGATCTAGGACAAAATTTACATGATCTAATAAGTGCTGTGAAGTAGTAAATACTATTGGAAGACTATCAGTTAATTGTCTAATATCAGTAGCGTTTAGATATGGACACATGACATGTAAATGTGTAAAATGAACACCATCATGAAGTAAATATAAAATTTGTTTAATATACATAGATACATTCATGACGACATGATCACCGGTTCTCATATGAACAACAGCTAAAGTATTAAGAACAGTTTGAGAATGATTTTTTCCGATTACTAATTGTGGCAAATGATTAATTAATTGAGATGTCATACGTTGAATTAATGGAGTATGATGTAAATGTTCAAAAACTTGTTGTATATAGATATTTGGAGATGAGAAAAACTGTCCGAATGTTGTATAATGAATATGAAGAAATATAGACGAACAATCTTTGGATTTATTGAATAATTCGTTCATCTGAAAATTTCTAGAAAGATTTTTTGAATGATGAAAATCAATATGTATTCTGTAATAACTTTGTATTGATATTAATGTATTCCTTGGATACCATGCCCTTTGGGCTACAAGTTCAATTTGTTGAATGTAGCAATCTATCATCACTTTCTTTTTATCGGTCTTAAATTTTGATATTAATTGATCAAGTGTTATAAAATTTAAAGCCTGACTGAGCTTTTTTAAATCATAAAAATGATCAAACCATTGAATACCTCTATGTTTGTTTCCATAATGTGGATATAATGGAGGTATAACTAGAGTATAGTTATTTATCATAGCTATTATACAACACTTGACAAAATCTTTTAATTGGTTATTAGGACCATAATGATTAACGCACCATAGATATTGAGAAGATTTATTTTGGGATGTTACTGAAGTGAGATTCATCGTAGCCTTCGAACTATAAGAAAAATGTTTGAGATTAATATTAAATGTCTGCGAACGATAACGTGTAAAATCAGGTCGATTGCTTAGATATAAAACAATGGTTACCGTCACCATAGTCACACAAAATGTGGAGAATAATACGCACCATAAAACTCTGACAGACATAGAAACGAATCAGGTGGAAAGATCCAGTCTTTTGATTAAATAAATATTTTATAATAATTTAACGTTAAAATAATCGAGTGCATGTTCTGAAACAAAAATAAATCAACAGATCGCAATTGTGTGTACACAGTGATAATCGGATTTTTTTAACTTTCTGTAACAACTTTTCTTTCATTCAGTTACCTTCATTTCGTATGTTCTATCAATTGAGAAGAGAATACGTCTGTAAAAATTATGTTTGTTATAAGTGTGTATTGCTTCTATATATGATGAAAATGTCAACGAACGCAACTATTGATCGTATATAAATTCTAAAGATCATTTTTTTTACATCGTACAAATTATTGCTTGCCGGTAACGATTCTAGGAGGCGTGAAAGCAGGGATCCCGAAAGATGCGCATGACGAAACTTGCGCACGAGCGTACGGATGAAGGTACGAAGTGAGGGTGAGGGTGCAGGTGTGGATGATAGTGAGGGCGAGGGCAGGTGAGGGTAAGAGTGAGGTTGAATGGGTCCGTTTTATTTCCTAAACCCTATCCGCACGCTCGTGCGCAAGTTTCGTCGTGCGCATCTTTCGTAGACCCGTGAAAGCAATTATAGATGAAAAATGAAAATACTACTTCTATTCTAAAAATATATGCGTATGTTTTTTTGAAATTTGAATGTAGTCGAATAAGTTTAATTTTGATTGAAACAACCATGTCAGTTGAAATTTCAAGTTTCAACTAAATTGTGGCAAATCAGAAGATAATCCTTGTGATTTTCGGTGTGTTTCTTCCTTTCTCCCTCATCATATTTCATACTCTGAAAATGTAGAAGAGAGGATTTTTTTCCTGTTCATCACAATTTGGTTGACACTTGAAATTTTGACTGAAGTTGTTTCAATAGAATTTCAACTTACTTACTTAAATACAACGCTCAAATTTTACACTACTGTAAGAGTTAAAATAAAAGATTGAGAGTGAATATTGTCGCCAAGTGGTGTACAATAATAATGGTTTACAGTGTCTCTAATGCTGTCATAAACATTCAATTGTTTAGTTAGTAAGTATTTCAAATATTTAAATATGATTTCAAAAGAATTTATCAGTGTTAAAAGTTTTATTATATCAAATAACTTTAGAACTTTATAAAATGTTTTTGATTAAGGAAGACTGTAGACCTTTTTTTTATAACGAGTTTTCTCTTTCTAAGTAGTTTTTATTTTAGTTTTATTTAACGCTTCAAACGATAATGTTGTCCTTCTTCAGAATAAAATCTATAAATGGAAACATAGAGTTTCTTTCGTCTGCTTCATTTAGTAATAGTACGGACCATAAAAAGTCAACCTCATCGTGCTAGGTTATTACCATCTTGTCCGTATCCTTTTTAAACAAAAAAAAAAAGAGAAAGAAATTCTATGTTTCTATTTGTACATATTATTTTGAGAAAGGACAATATGATTATGTGAAACATAAAGTAAAACTAAAATAAGTATTCATTAAGAACTTTATGAATCATCTGAATTTTTTCTCTAAAAGAAACCTTCTACGATACTCGAAGTAACGAACAGTATACTAAGACTTGACTATTCAATACAAAATAACATGTATAATTTTATATAAAACTAAATAAATTTCTATTTGAATACGATCGATAATTGAACAACATAGACGTTCTATTTATGAAATATTTTGATTAATACAGACTAAAACACCGAATAAATAGCAAAGGAAATAGTCTCTCCAAAAAAAAAGTTCTGTTAAAGAATTATGAAAGCTAGACAGAAGAAATAAAAAAAGTTTGCCTATAACAGATCGATTAGACAGTAGAAAAAAGATCTGTTGGTGAATTCGTAACACGCACATAAAAAGAACTTGAATCCAGTCAGACAAGAGACTTAAAAAGATGAACCAAAACGCCGTTTTAACAAGTATTTTAATGCATTTTAACTAAGGTAGGACTATTTGAACACGGTAAAATGCCCAAACATTTTTTAGACTTACGCGCTTTAACCCATGCACATGACAAATTTTACGAGTTTGAGACGTTCACGAACAACAACGCGTTGACCACTAGAAGATCAATGAAAAAACATATTTTCGTGCACATTTTCTTGAATTCGTTTCACAACGTTTAACACAAATTCATTATTTTCAATTTTTTCAAGCGAGTGAACTTATTTAAATGGATTAGTCTCTTGAGATTCGTTCAAATACAGAATCTTTTGTCCGATCACTCATGCCTATATGAACACACTAACTGTGAATGTTGTTATATATAGACCGCTTCGACGTTTTAGTAGAATGACAAATTAATTTTTAAACTCATAAGAAAAGCCGATGTTTTTAAAGACATCCAACTAATTATATTCTTAGATGTGCAAGACTACCTAAGTTTCATTATATATCTGCTTAATTGGTTTATGTATTATTTTTCTGTAAGTTCAGATTTGATTCTGCTCTACTTGTGATATAATGTAGTTATCCTTATATTTTTCCCTTCATGTCTCTTATAATTATACAATCATAGAAATTTTCGAGAATTTTTTTCTTTTGCTTATGATTATTTCGACATCATCAAGAAACTCGTCATCAGTTAATTACGAATAAAGGTTTTTTGCATCACTAATACTATTATCACATTTAAGGATCTATTGCTGTTATAGTTGAGGATCGATTTTTCTTAGAGCCATGGAAATTATTGTATTTTCGTTTCAACATGAATAAGCATTCAAAGTTGAGAAGATTATATAATAAAAAAGGACGGAAGAAACACCAACAATATATGATTAGATATATTAAAGCTTAGTATTGTTAGAAATAAAATAATAAACAAGTCTAACAGTGATATACCAGATAATTAACTACGTTCTCTAATCACTTCACAGAAGAATAAAGCATATGGTCTGAATAGAATCAATTGAAATATAACGATCTGTTTTTTTTCTTTGTTAATGCTAACACACTATTCTATGTAGTGCGATCATCGGAGAATCTTTAGGCATAGGTCCACAAGAAATTAAAGCTATCCTGGTCTAACTTTTTTACGAAACTATGATAAACCTCTAATCCCTTTAGTCCTTTTGCTCCCTTTAATCCCTTTAATAAGCATGTAATCTTAACCACCAGTGACGAAGGGAAGTTTTTGAAGATTCTACTTAGATTAGTACAACTTCTCTGTACGGTTCTTCTTCAGTTGTAATAATGGATCTTCATTTCAAGTCATTACCGATGTATGATTCAAGATTTACTTGTACAAAAGTCAATGTGTCCTCAAAAACCTTTCCTAAATCTCTTTAACTAAGACGATGACATTGTTATCCGCTGAAGATCAAAAAAAAATAGGGACGTCTGCACAAGAACTGTAATACACTGCTCAAATCTATCAATAGGATGAACTGTCGAAAAGATTTTTGAGTCTAATCTAGCCTATGAAACCTAAATCTAGGATAGACTTGAACATACTCAAATCTTGCGGTTTCATTGTCTATCTTTGTCTTATATGTGAGATGAACACATTCTGGTGATTTTCAGTAGCTTAATAAGAAAACACCACTTCCAACGGTGCTAGTCAAGTTACTCGTTTACTTAGGGTGTACCAAAAGTTCTGATCACCATGTTTAAAAGACTCTTTCGATAAGGCGTCCTATTCAAAAATGAGAAACCAAGTATACTATGTTGTAGAGTTTTTCGAGATGCATCTAATGGTATATAGTAAATTCTATTTTCATAAGACTCTGAAAGAATTAGAATCAATTTACTGATAGGCGACTACACATTCACACATGCATCCATCCATATTCACATCCACAAGATGATCGGAGATGCTACGCATATGAGATTGTAGTCCTTTAAAAGTTCTACAAAGTCATATGTGAGAAAAGGCATTTTACAAATATTTTTGATTAATAGCAAGGCCAACAATATTCATTAATTTATCATTGTTGAGTATAGGTGCTAGTATGGATGCATGTGGATATGTAGTCGTCTATCAGTAAATTGATTCTAATTCTTTCAGAGTCTTATGAAAATAGAATTTACTATATACTACTCGATGCATCTCGAAAAACTCTACAACATGGTGTATTTGGTTTCTCATTTTTGAATAGGAAACCTTATCGAAAAAGTCTTTTAAATATGATGATCAGAACTTTTGGTACACCCTAAGTAGTTTATCCTGAAAATAGACCCGTAGTTTTATTGTTTCTTATTAGCAAAATATAAAGTTGTTACTTATTATTTTATGAATTACTTCTATTACTCTCAACTTCTTCAAACTTTTTAGTAATAAAAAAATTTAATAGTAATAAGCTCTTACCTTAACTAAGTATTAACAAAACAATAAATACAACATGAAATGTAGATATCACTCAGAACGAAGAATTCGAAACTCATATTACTTTATGAAACAACCATATTCATTCGATATTTCATCATATACGAGCACATTTTGATGTATATCATGAGTCATTATTATGACTGTTTTTGTCGGTATTGTATATGGAGACCCATGACCAATTGCCGTAACATACTTTGTAAAAACTGAAATCATATTCGAAATTTACAGGCGATCATATTTGGAATACATGCTAGAATGTCCTTTCGAAAATGTCCTCTATTTTTTCGTCCTTTCACATACATTTTTATGTAAGGACGAAAAAATAAAGGACATTTCGTCTAAGGACATTTTCGAAAGGACATTCTAGACTGTTACCCATATTTGTTAGTATTATTTACTGAGAAATATGATTGTAATACTGAGTGAGATGATACGCTAACATATGACGACTTATGATCGTTTACAAATACGCTTGTTCGATCTGCGGAAGAATATATATGTCATACATACGTAAATGTTATTTATTGATCAAATATTGTTTTATAAAACTTCTTTAAAATGTTGGATACACAGAAAAAAAATATATCATAGGATTGTACAACATTATAGTTGTTCAGACATTTTTTAT